GGACTACTTAAATTAGGTACCAAAAGTACACGTGTGGCTAGTTGTATCCTCATGAAATTGATGTAATATCATAATTACCTGAATAAAGCTAAGTGCCGAGGAACCTAAGTAGTCACCTTAATATTAAAAAAAATAAAAATAAAAAATATAATTAAGCTAAAGTTAATAGAATTAGTATAAAAGTTTAATTAATTTTGTTATTATAATAATAAATCTTTGCTGGTTTATATAATTTATATTTTAGCTAAATAATACTAAACTTTAATTATTAAATTAGTAAACAAATAAATTAACATGTTTTTTTTTACTATTCTTTAATATAGGCTTTCAACCAAAATATCCTGCTCTTGAAGAAAGTTAGTAAAATAGATTCAAGATTTGTATAAACAACAAAAAGCTGTATTATATTATATAGTATAAAATAAAGCAAAAATTTTAGTATCTAATAGACAGTTTAGTAAATTATATTCAATAATTTATGAATATAAATAGAGTGAAAAATAGTTAAATAGATTTATATACTAGTATGATTTAAGTAGTTATTGACATATAACAGTAGCTTAAAAATTATCTGAAGATTTAAAAAAAGTGTAATAATTGTTTTTGAGCTTTATATTATATTGCTAAATTTAATATAATTATCTATTAAAACTTATTGGTAATATAAATAAGACTCTAGTTTGGTTTGAAATATCAAATACAACAACAATAAAAAAAACTAGTACCAAAACAGTTAGTATTTAAACATGTAGTTATGAAAAATCTTATTTTACTATTGTTCTAGCATGCTTGGCTGATAAAACAAAATTATTACCAATGCTTATTTTTAAGCTTGTTAATAATTCTTAGCAGACCTTTCTAAGTGGTATTTTAGTTCATACAAATAAAAATAGATGAATAAATATTGATGAAATGCTATAGTAAATTGAGAATATATAAACTTGTTGTACACTATTATCTACACATTCTAGATCTCTTTTAGTTTTGAATACTTTTAAAGAGCATTTAACAGACCTAGTAAAATAATGATTTAATAAACATAATACAAATATAGCAGTTATTCTTGGAGAATTAATATCCAAATTACAACCTTTTGATATTGCAATTAATAAACTTTTTAAAAACAAAAATATATAATTTAGCTGATTCAAATAATAAATAAATAGTATAAACTTAATTAATTAATTTTTTTATATACTTAGCTTTGGTATTTTTATAATAATCAAATAGCTAAAGAAATAAAAAAATTAACACAAAGTAGATACATTCAATATCCTGCTTATATATAATTGCTAAATAGATTGACAAAGTATAGAAAAATATTAATTCTAATCTTATTTAAAGATTATTCAAATATTGCGAAATATCAAATATATAAGATAGCTCTGAAAACAATTTGATATTTGACTATAATCAAATTGTTAAAAACAAGCAATGAAATAATAACTATATATTTGAAATAGATTCTAATAATAGTAAAGTTTTAGCAAGTATTTCTACTAGTAAATCATATAAGAATTTAGATAATTTTAACTTTTATATTAAAAATTTGAAATTAAAATAGTTTTAGTAAAAGTTTTCGATCTTATATTTTTGATTTAGAATTGTTTAAAAATACAGAAAAAAATATTTCAGAAAGTAGTATTAATAGAGTCATGCCTTATATTATTCTTAAAAATTTATTAGATCAAAAGTTTGCAATAGCTACTGATAAAGCAATTATCTTGGATAACAAGTCTAGAAGTAAATATAAAGCAATTATCTTAGATAATGAAGTAATTATATTGGATGATGAGTCTAAAAGTAGAGATAAAAAAATTATCTTGGATAATGAGTTCAAAAGTGAAGATGAAATTATTGATTACTATGATAAAGAAATAGTCAATTATATAAATTCTTGAAATTAAATTTTTAGAAAAAGCTATATCTAGTAATATGTATTAAAATTAATTCTCTAATTCAAATATTTTCAATAAAGCATATAGAGATTTAAAAAAAAAATATTTTAAAAATTAATTAGATATATAGTAACAATTTTATAAATAAGTTACTTAACTTTAGTACTATATGTATATTTATTTTATTGTTTTAAAATAATACCCCAGATATTATTTTACTTTCGAAGAATTTATAGAAAAAAATAATATTTATTGAACTTAAACTATCCTTTAACTATAAACAATCCTAGACAAATTTGCCTGGAAAATTGCTATAAATTTGTTTATAATTTACTTTTTTTAAAATTTAAAATATTTAAATAAATTTTTTTTTAATAATATTTAAAAATAAGGATTATATTATAGTAGTATTTAATTTTAGGGGAAATTACACATTGGGACCCAAATTTGAAAATAATTAAGAATGAGGGCCCAACTTAAAAATATTTATTTAT